CCTCACATGCTGGGCTCCGGCGATCCTTCCGCCTCAGCCTTCCAAGTAGCTGGAACTACAGGTACGTGCTACCACGCCCAGCTAATTTTTGATTTATTGTAGAGATGAGGTCTCACCAAGTTTCCCAGGCGGGTCTTGAACCCGCGGGCTTAGGCAATCCGCTCACCTCAGCCTCCCAAGGCGCGGGATTATAGGCTGAGCCACCAAACCTGGCTCCTTTTACTTTTAGTATTTGATATTTTACTCCAGGTGAGCTGTCTCTTCTTCCTGTTTGTTTATTCATTTATTTTCTAATGTGGACTCAAGGAGTTCTATTTTATTTATTTAGTGGATTTTAATTCTCCACTATCATGATTTATTTTGATGCTCAAATTGTCCCAGATTTGGCCAATGGGAGCCCCTTAAAACTGGCTTTTTTGACCTTTTGTCATGTCCCCAACACTCTTTGAGCACAAGACGTTTCAGGCTCATCTCATTCTTTCTCTGACCTAGCCCTGGAATCAAGTTTTTCTCCGTGGTGTGCTGGGTGCCTTTTAATGGAGAGCATTGTTCAGAATCAGTATTTGGGGCTAGATATGCTAAGTGCTCTGGAGTGTCTCTGCTCTCCAGTCCTTGCAGTGGACAGACGTGGAAACATATGATGTGTGTTTGAACATATGTGTTTACATCTGTACTTATTTTTTACCTCTGTGGATTGAAAAGCAGGAGTTCATGCCTGTACCTCTAATTCTATTTCAAAACTACAGAGTTAATTCTAGCTTTTGCCCTTTCTATATTTTTATTTCTCTTCTTCCACAGTGCCCTCCTTAGATGCCCTTTTGTGTGTATTTAGACCCCCTGGTGCAACCGCCCTGCTTAAGAAAACCTCCTTACTGCCCTTGGGCTGCCTCCCCACCACATTCATCTCATGTGGGCTGTGGGTGCCACTGGGCAACAAGAAGAAAGGTCTGGTTTTTAAGTGTTGGTCAAGCAATTCAAGTTTGAAAGGAAAACAAAACAACAGAAACCGCTGTAAGTTAATCAGAATTTGACTAGTAGGCCAGATTCAGGACTAGGGTAACTTCTGGTCTAGACAATAAAAAGAAAATGGTGTTCAGAGATGACTATGGCTTATGTAATATAAGTTTTAGTGAGCCCCGTAAGACCCTACTGGGTTAGGGATGAGCACACTTGCCTACTTTCCTTTACATGGTCTTTGTGTTCCCCACTGGGCTGAGTGAAATATAGAGCACAGCACATTCACCCTTTGGGAACTTCTCCTTTAAGCTTACGTTTTTCTTTTTTTTTTCTCTCTTTAGTTTTTGCTTCCTACTACTTTTTATACTCTGTAGAAGTCTACTTTTTATATAGAAATCTATAGAAAACCCCTTGCTGGGGTTCAGAATAAAATGCTCCAGTGAAAAGGACAATTGGGAAGAAGAAACAGTTTTTTTTTTAAGGGGGCAGTCCTCTTGAAAAAGAGAGTATAGAAATGACAAGTGTATTGATACCAGATTCCAGTTCTCCACAGCCTTGTTAGGTTTTTTTTTGTTTTTTTTTTTGATTTGGAGTCTCACTCTGTCACCCAGGCTGTAGTGCAGTGGCACTCTCACGGCCACCCCAGTATCGACCTACTGTGCTATGGCGAGCCTTCCGCCTCAGCCTTCCAAGTAGCTGGAACTACAGGCATGCGCTACCACACCCGACTAATTTTTTTGATTTATTGTAGAGACAAGGTCTTGCCAAGTTGCCCGGGCTGGTCTCGAACGCACAGGCTTAGGTAATCTACTCGCCTTGGCCTCCCAAAGTGCTGGGATTACAGGCTGAGCCACCAAGCCTGGCCCTTGTCAGGCTTCTTATGTTGACCATGGTAGATCAAATGTGTATAGTTAGAAGAGATGAAAAGCCTCTTTCTCTGAGGTAGAACCTTTTTCCTTCCTCCAATTCACTATTCTTTGGGGGGAGAGGATGGCAGGAGGTATGCCACTGAGAGGTAATATCTGGTTGAGGCAACAGCCTCTATAGTGCCAGGATGGGCTCCTTTGTATTTCACAAGAATTCAGAGAATGACTGTCTTCACTTGCTTGGAGGATCTTTATAGTAGGAAGGATGGGACGTCCAGGTACGATATATGCACCAGGGAGTGACATGATGAGAAGTTAAGTGACAACTACTGGACATTTCTAGAAAATCTGAAGTCCTTCTCAAGCATAGACATGATACTCATTAAACTCTTGTCCTTTAGTCTGGTCAACATTTTTTGTCCACATCCTTTTTCCTGGCCTCATGTTTGTTTATTTTTATTTTGGGGGTTTTATTTTTATTTTTACTTTTTTCTTTGCCTCTTGTATATTTCTGGTACAAGAAATGAGGGAACGGAGTTAGTGGGTGGGTGAGAAGAAGGAGAGAAAGGGAAAATTTTAAAACACTGATCTTTTATGTGGTAAAAATTCATGCTGACTTTATAGTCTGAGTAAGCATATGTAAATAATTTGTAAATCATTGGAAAATAAACTTGTAGCCTTCCAGTTATTTTTCACACACTTGAACATGGGGATATTGGGAAAACCACTCCAGGGTGAAGGGTGATATGGTTATCATGGTATGTAAACGAGTTGATATTTACCATAACCATTCACCTAGAGTGTCCTTCTGTTTATACTGAGCATTGCTGCAAAATTCTCTCTTTCCCTGGTTACTTCTTTCAGAGGCACATGTATTTTATACTTTGGTCTTCCTTTGGCAGTAGTCCAGGATATCAAATTACCACCCTGCTTTCAGTGGGCTCCATGTTGAATCCCTCTGTCTTTTGACTTCATTTCAGATTCAGAAACTAGTTTCTTACGTAATGCCCATATTTATGCTGTTCTTTGTCTGCTGTTAATGCTGCCATTATTGTTCTTTTTAAGTGAATTTTATAATCAGTGCTCTTCTTTCTTTAGATATGAGCCCTAAGTCAGCATATTGCTATGCTGTTCCTTTTTTTCTTTTTGCTTAAGTTTTTCATTGAATGCTATTGTACCAGGCACTGTGTGGGGCATCAGTAGGTGTTTCTTGACAAACTAGTACCCCAGCATTCACAGTTTTCTACTCACAATTCCCAGGTTGTGAATAGCTGTGTTTTCAATTTTTGTTCTTTCTGTTGGTGTCACGCTCTTTATGAGAGAAGCAACATCTCATTGTGCTTAAGGCCATGGGTTTTGGAGTCGTGTGATCTTGGGCAAGTTACTTTCTGGGTCACATTTAGTTTTCACGTCTGTTTTAGAAATTAAATACAATATTACCTACTTCATAGGATTGCTTTAAAGATTGAATTAAATGTGGTATTATTTATAGAACACTTAGCATGGGTGTTGGCATTTGGTAGGCACTCAGTATTTGTTAGATGATGATGATGCCACCCTCCTTTATTATTACCATGTCATTGATTCTCAGTTCTGGCCTGTGTTTCTTTGAAACGCTTTTCTGGCATTTAACCTGTGTCCTTTCTATCAGGTTCGCAACTGTGCGGTATGATCAAGGAGCCAAGAACATTAGGAACCAGTTCATGCATCTGACAAACTACAGTGTGAATAAGAAGAGTGGAGACTATGTCAGGTATTGGTGTGTCTTAGCTCAGACAATTGGTATCAGGTATGGGTGTTGTATAGGTGGAAAGTTAACATGTTGCACTGGAGGAAAACTTTATTGTGTGTTCATGTAACATTTATGGGAAGCTGTCAGTCATGTAACAGTTGTGGGACTCATCTGCTGCTGCTTCTCCACTGCCTCCCCAGTTTCAGTGTCTCTTTTCTCTACCAAAATATGCCTTCACAGGGTTTGTCTTCCTTCTCTTGACTTAGAGATAGGAAGATAATAGGCATATGGAACTTTTTAGTAGTCAGAAATGAGGTCATTGCAGCACTTGGCAAAACACATCAGAAACTTTAAGAATATTTGCACCCTTTGACCCAGCAGTTCCATTTCTAGGAACTTAACCTTAAGAAGTAAAAGATGTACACACAGGATCAGACATAAAAACACTTATTACTATATACTGTTAGGTGGAAAAAACAGGTCACCAAACAGTTCATGAACTTAATTTCTTGCATGAATATATTAATATAGCTAAAGCTGCTTATTTTTGCGGAGGGAGGAGACAAAAGACTAGAAGTAATACCAAAGTGTTAACTGTGCTTAACGATCTTGGGTGGGATCGTGGGTAGGTGATTTTTATTTTCTTCTCTGTGCTGTTATGTATTTTCTAAAACAAATACTTGTATCATTGGGAAAAAAAAGTTGGGAAAAAATTAAAGACAGAAAGCAATGAGGCCATCTCAGAAAAGGATTCCGTGGAAGGGAGTACCAGCCCGGGTGTGGAAATATTCTTTTTGCTCTTTTTTCTTTCATCCTGATAATTTTGCCAGAAAGTGGAAAAGAGACCCAAGCAGTTGCTTTCTACTCAGACTAAAAATAAGTGCCTAGCAGTTCCAAGGAAAGAAAGAAAGGATTCTGGAAGTGATGGAATAGTTGCTGAGGTGACATAATTTTCATTGAGTGTCCAGGTGTTTGAATTGATTGAAGATATCATACCTTCACTTTGGAGGATGAGCAAAAGGCACAGTTGGTGGAGGATGGGATGGTGGTAGACAGTGAGGGGCAGCTGCAAAACACAGGTTTCAGATTGCAGGACTTTTCCAGCGCTCATGGGAAGCAAACTATATGCATTTTCAATGCCATTGAAGAAATAATGCAAAGGGAGACATGACTGAAAGAACCAAGAAAAAGTGTGTAAGGGGAAGTCCACAAAGTGAGTGTTTTTCTGAAGACTTGAAAGGACAAGAGGGCTAGCTGTAAGGTATCTTGTTTTTACAGTCAGGCCTAGTCACATATGTGACCTTGATTTATTAATTTGTTTTAGTTGTGATGACCCAGAAGTGGAGGATTATGGGAACAAATGGAGCATGAGTGCAATGCTTAGATACCTTAAACAAGAAGGCAAAGATACAACCGGTGAGTGCCAGGCCTTTTCTTTTTTGTCTCCTCTTTGTATAACTTTACCATTGTCTCTTGCCAGGAATCATTGTCCACAACGCTGGTAGCATTGCTGAGATGTCCAGTAGCATGATTGTCCAGGGTGTTCCTTTTCCCTGCAGTTTACAAGCTGGAGGACAGGCTTTCTATGACCCCAGCATTCCTTTTGTTGATTCTTCTTGGGAAGGCATAACTTTTTTCTTTAATCCTTAATGACTGTGTTCTCCTTGAATATTGATACTGTACACTTTTTATATAACAAATTACCTGTTTCCATATTGGCCCCAAGTTCAGATTTTTCTAAGTTAATTTCTCTCAGCTATGTTGTGGAGTTGGAGAACAGGCTAAGTTTGAGAATAGGGCTTAGAGTCGCAATGGACACTTGCTGAGCCTTGAGCAGAATGGGAAAGTGTACCAGAAGAAACTGTCTCAGTTCCTAAGGGAAAGGGTCATGCAAGAAGTGTGAGAATGGAAGAAAGCATCCTGTTTCTTTCTGTGTCTGTCTTTTGTCGGAGCCCACCTGAGGGTATCCACTGGTACCTGTGCTGGCTGTTCATGGATATGCTGCCCCTGTAGCACCCATTCACAAGACTGCCATAGAGAGGCTTTTGTGAATGAGCACAGGTGCTTTTTATCCCTATATTATGGTCTGGAATCCACTCCTACTAATTCACGTATTTTGGTATTGATTCTTTCATTTTAAAAATGTTTTTGCAGTGTTGATGGCCCATGTAGAAGACCTGATCATTAAGACTATCATCTCTGCTGAACTAGCTATTGCTACTGCCTGTAAAACCTTTGTTCCTCATCGCAGCAGTTGTTTTGGTAAGGAGGCTGAAGAAACTTCATGTGATTTGTGAAGAGAGTCTTGGGAAGTCGGGATGGGATTCTGGGGTAGAGATCTTAGTGATTCTGTAGGAGGAAGAGCTATATGATGGGCTTTTATTTCTTTCTAAGTTCTTACAGCATATGAGGATCCTACTTAGAGGCCAGGAGCGGGCTTAGCTGGAAGTCCTCTGAGGAGTAACTTGCTTTCTGTTTGGGGAGCAGGCATTGGAACTAAAGTGTGGGTCTTTCTGTCATAGTACAATCAGAAAAAGTCTGCAACAGACTGTACAGCAATCCAGCTCTAACAAATATATTCCAGAGCTCCTTGGCAGCCAGGCTGGGAATTGTTCCAAGAAGCTCTGGCTGGTACCAGTGTGTGCTTTCTCCCATTTTCCGATGACTCCTCCTTTTTGTTTTAGTTTTCTTTCTAGTGGGTTCCTCCCTGCCTCCTCTTCCTCCCCTCTTCCCCTTCCTCCTCTTTTTTGCCCTCCTCCTCTACTTTCTCCTCTTTCTCTTCCTTCTTTTCTCCTCTTCTATTCCACCCCAACTCCCTGATTGTATAGAGAATAAGCAGTGAACAACTACTGGCTCAGAAACCTGTTCCCTCCTGACCCACTGGCTATGACTGTAGCACTGATACTGCTTGTGTGCATTTTCTTTCTATATGGATATGTGCTGGTTCATGGTTCCCAATATGATGTCTGTAAAGTCACCTGCTTTTGACAGGTGTCAGGCTTTGTTAGTATTAATAAAATACACTAGAGTCCTTGATGGGGAGGATGAGTAGCGCATGCATGGAGTAATACAGGTAGGAGGGGGAGAGCGATGGCTTGCCTATATAGCAGGGTCACAAGAAAATAAAGAGCCTGGACTTTAGAGCCTGACAGCCTTAGATTGAAAGCCAGTTGCACCCCTAGCTAGTTTTGTGACTTTCAGCAAGTTACTCTAGTCCTGTTTGCTCAACTGTCTAATGGCAGTGATGATGGCATCTGCCTCCTAAGAGTACCATGAAGATCCAGTGAAATGCTGCATGTGAAGCACCTGAACAATGTCTGGACCTTAAGTTGTGCTCAATAAAAATTATTTTTCATTATTTTTATAATTAGACATTAATGGATTATCCTAACAGTCTGTAGTTGAGGGGCACTAAACAAAGGGAATTGTTGAGACTCTGAGTAGAAGATAGTAGGTAAATCAGGACTTAGAATTCTGTAGGAAAAGAAGAAGTTGTAATATCTTTAAAAAATATAAGCCGGGCTCAGTGGCTCAGCCTGTAATCCCACACTTTGGGAGGCTGAGGTGAGTGGATTGCCTGAGCCCGCGGGTTCGAGACCCACCTGGGCAACTTGGCAAGACCTCATCTCTACAATAAATCAAAAAATTAGCCTCGCCGAGGTAGGGCATGCCTGTAGTTCCAGCTACTTGGAAGGATCGCTGGAGCCCAGCTGGTTGAGGCTGCGGTGGCCGGGAGGGTGCCTCTGCACTCCAGTCTGGGCGACAGAGTGAGACTCCAACTCAAAAAAAAATATATATATATATATATATGTGTATATATATATATATATATGTTTATGTCTTCTAAAATCTATAAATGGCTCCCTAGGCTTAAATAATGTAGTAGCAATTTGGAGTGACCTTCAAGGCTTCTAAGAATCTGATCTCTACTGACTTTTCTGGAGTTACATTTACTCTCTTGCATCTTATAGTACAGCTGTACCATGCTATGCTTCCCAGCACTCTGATTTTGGGACTCTTGAGTTCTGCTATTTGGCTAGAAAACCCTCCTCCCATCTGTGCTGCGTACTCTTGCTTCCTTTCTAAGACTCAGCTCCACTCAGCCTCCTTTTGAAATCCTTGCCTCCCCATGTGTTTCCCCCTCCATGCTGTTCTCTACCTATTTCATTGTTCTTTGCCTGTCACATTGTGATACTATTTCACATGTATACTTCGCCAGTACTCCTGAGATTATCTTCTTGAATTTCCAGTAGTCACTGTGTCCCTCCTTGCCATCTCACTCTGTTTCTGCTAGACCTAACCTTTCACCCTTTCCCTGTATCTCCCAAGTCTGCTTTTGAGCCTGCTTTTATTCTGGATCTGAAATATCTTTCTCATGTTACTCCACCTAACAGATTACAGAGTCAAGTATTGTTTGGTGATACTTTTTCCTAACTTTTCCAGAGCTAGCCTACCCTGCCTCTACCCCCCATCACTCTATTCCTAACTCTGCAGTAGTATCTGTGTGCTGTCATTTGGCATTCATTCACATGTCTTTCTCCCTACTGGATTGGAAGCTTCTTGTAGACAGTAACAACATCTCTGTCAATTTTGCCTCTCTCATGCATGGCAGCATCTTTTCCATCCTCCTGCCTCAGCTTCCCAGGTAGCTGGGATTACAGGTGCACGCCACCATGCCCAGTGGCATGGCAACGCCTTTTGTTCTTACAGGATATTTAGGAAATGTTTGTTGATTTAATGAATTCTTGCTTCAGTTGCCTTTTGATGACTTTCTCAATGGATCTGGTTTGGTAAGGGCCTAGAACTCTTAGAATTATTGCAAACTGAGGCTGGGACTAGGACTCCAACTTTCAAAACCTTATAAGATTAAAATAATAAGTTTCTTTTCGACATCTACTTGGCTCTTACATGAGGGTAAATTTCTGGCATCACTTGGTGTAAAACTCTGTTCTAAGTAGTTAATGATAAAAGCTTTTCTGAATGTTTCCTTTTTTATTTTGTTTTATAATAATGTCTTTTGGAAGCTTAGGAGTTTTTTAAACTTAATGGCAGTAGAACGTTCTGATGTGAAAGAATCAGTGACTTTCTCTGACTCAGTCCATTTCATCAGCCCTGGCTCTCCTTTCTGCCTCCCTATTTGTGTTCAGTTTTCATAAACTGAGTGCATCTGGAGTTTTTTAAGTTGTTGACTGTCTCCTTGGCTTTTGTGGTTCTAGTTCCACTTCCTGTCAGCCCTGGGATTTTGTGTGCTTCGTTAACTTCCTCCCATCAGATATGATTTTGTGTATGCATATGTGAGTGAGTCTCTGCTTCCCACTGACTCCTAACCTCCCCTGGGGTGTAAGTTATAAGGAATAGGTTGGGGTTTTTTCCTTCTTTTATTTTAGCGTAAACAGGAATTGAGAGCTTCTCAGAAGATTTTGGCTTAAACAGAGCATTGGTGCTTTTAGAAGAAGCCAGTAGTTCAGAGATGGGGTTCACTATATCCTTTTGGTTGTTGTTTCTGCACTTCTGTCTTACGGCTTTCTGCCAACGGCATTCCATTCCTATCTGTTTATATCCTACGATTTCTTTTCCATCCTACTACCTGTAATGTCCAGCTATGCTTTCAGGTATCTTCAGTATTCCCATTCCATTTGTTTAGTTATACATTTAGCTTTTTTCTAATTCCTACTGTGTGCAAGTTGTAGGTTAGTCTTTCATCCATGCATTACCATCCACAGTTTGTTTCTCTCAAACCAAATTTTATGTAGGCTAATGTATAATGTGTCTGCATTGTGTTATTAGTGTTTAAATGTGGAGCTGGGAACCTTCACAAACTACCTGAAACTTGGCCATTTAATGTTGGAAAGGACTTTTGAGAATAATTAGTTCAGATATAGAAATGAGACTCTGAGAAATTAACCCTTGTCCCAGGTTCCAGAGGGAAAGAAACTCAGATGAAAGTGACTCAACTTGGAGAAATGGGACTTCAGAAGATAAGTTTTTGCAGTCTAATACTCTTGATCACAGAATTCTTGATTTGTAGAATTTTTGATGCCTCCCTGAGTAAGAGATATTTTTTTTAACAATCTAATTTTAATTGCCTTCCAAGATTGTGAAAATGTGGTATCATGTGAAATAACATGCTTAAACAGCAACACTTAAAATATGCTTATGAAATTGGCACTGTGAGATAATTGGCTATGAGGACAGCTTTTTTTTTTTTTACCAGTTTAAGAAAAACAGCCAAAAACAACAGGATGTTAGCTGTCCTTTAAAGATGTTTCTACTGACAGTAGTTTTATCAATGTGTATGAGGAGGGCTCTTTGAAATGATGGGCTGTATCCCTAGTCCTCTACAGCCTGGGATCATGTGGACAAGCTCTGGGACCTCTGTAGAACTAAGATCAGCCTGACTATATTCTCATCAGGGACCAATGACATGTTTGCTCAGGACCAGCATACCTCTCTTTGTTGGATGAAATCTGACTTGGCCTTCTGTTGCTACTCTTCTTGACTATTTCATGGTGTAAGCGGAGGTTCATTTAGGGAGGATGCCCATCAGTTGTTGCAGGAATGAAAACAGGCTGAAAGCAGGCAGAATACCTTTTCCTGCTGCGGAAACTGCTTGTCCAACAGCAATGAAATACTGAAAGCCATCAAACTGTTCACTTTTTGAGATGATAATCTTTTTTGGTTTATCCCATGCTGTGGTTTAGATGGGAAGGGAAGTTTACTGTAGAGGGAACTTAGGTAGGAAGTACCTACTGTTTATCAAGCAAACATAGGTTATTTCTTTAGTTATTTAGTTATTTGCTTAGTTTTACTGGTTATTTCCTTTAGTCCTCAAAAATTCTTGTTGGTATTTACCCTTGTTTTGAAGACACGGAAGAAAGATTCAGACAAGTTAAATACATTTCCTAGGTCATGCAGCTAATAAGTGGCAAATCCAAGTTTGGGAGCCAGGTCTCTCTGGCTCTTTCTCCACCCACGTAAAGAAAGACAAGTCCTTATGAGCCCAGCCACTTTTTGGCATGCCCCATAACCTGATTTCTCCCCCTGCTCTCTTGTAACTAGATCGCAGGAAAAATAATACCGTCCTTTCTAGCAGATTAGGCATGAAAAATGACTCTCTTTCTACTCTGGCCATCAGTACCTAGTCCTTGATACTCCTTTCAAATCTACCTTTACATCTAGTAGCCAGAGACCATATTGATTTATTGGACTAGTTAGCAAAGTAGCTCTGGGCATTTCCTTTTATTTAGTTCATTTTTCTGTGG